TCCTTGTGCAGGGGCCATACTAATCTTCATTCTCTGTATCGTTCCAGTTTTAACGGATGTCCTGGAGGACAGGAAAGCGAATCTAATGTTGACAATGTCTCAAGCAAGCAACAATCGTGTAAATTTATCTCACAGATCAATTATCTGATGGTTGATGATCTTTGATGATGAGCGGAGAAAAAAACTAAATAAATAAAAATATAAAAAAAACAATGTATAGCATCCACAATCTCTGAAGCCTGCCAAGATGTGAATCATACTGTTGAATGCAGAAGTTCTCGGATGCGCCTCATTAGACCCTCCTTGGAAATCCGATTTTTAGGAAATTGGCATCGTTAGACCACGTCCTAATTTGCCAAATCCCTTGAACGAATGTGAAAATGCTCCCGAGAGATTTCCTTGGGTTCCTCGAAATCCCCAGCCAAAATATCCTTGGATTCAAGAGGTCCTCACGAGGTCCCTCAGGTTAAAGGAGCCTCCATAGACGGAGTGTTCTGAAGCGAAGCAAGTGCCCACAAGAGAATTCGGAGTCAATGTCGGTGCACAGGTCGTCTGCGGACATCACCGGCCTCCAGTACCCGACAGGCCACCAGCCGCCTTTCAACCGTTACCGTTGGTGCAAAAATGTGTGGGGGCGGTTCTTCAGCTGCAAGGCGCTTCATGGAGGGGGGTTTTGCATGCGCGCATCCACAGCCGTGGCGTCCAACGGTCAATTTTTACGATTTTTGTACAAGTGACGTTGAAGCACTGTCGGGCGATTGCAGTCATCCGCGTAGCGAGTTTTGTCAGCTATTGTCGCCCGCGGGAATGCAATCTTCGTTGGGTACACGCCTCACCTGCTGCGATTCATGGCAGACGTCCTCCGACGGTTCCCGCTCCTGCTGCTGGTCACTCTTCTCCTGCTTGTTGCTGTGTTGTTCCACTTGTGCATCATTGTGCAGGGTCCTCGCAGCAGACGGAAACAACCAAATTTGAAGAAGACGACGATGGACAGGCGTGAAGCCTCCAGCAGACAACCGGCGCACGCCATTGAGTACTCTGCTTCAGAAGCGATGGCGAGGCCACGTCATCGAGCCGCGTATGACCCGACCGGCTCGACCTTGTACAGTCATCTCCCGCCTCACGAGCAGCCTTTACCGCCGGATCCCGATGAGAAATGGGTGGATGATCTGTCCTGCACTCTGGAGCGGATCGCTGCAGGACTGGATGGGGAGCCATTGCAGACAACGGGATCGCCGCAGGACTGGATGGGGTGCTGTTGTAGACAACGGGAGGCCATGACAAGTCATCATTCATTCTCTTCTCTGCTAGTGGAC